TGGATCCACTGAAACTGGATATAACCATACATCTGGTATTATTCCCTCTGTTAAAGTATATTAATAAAGGAGATGACGGAGTTCTATCCAGCAGGTTGTCTACTGTCTTTCCTATGCAGAGAAATACAGCCTCCGACACTGCTGGCAGCAGGGCTGGCTTAGCGGAGACGACGGCGTAGGAGACTTAAGAACGTACGTACTCAAGATACGATGGTTACTCAAGATACGATGGTTTATACCGGCAATCGACATTGGCTCGCCTCAATTATCGCCACCATCGGTATGGCTGCGTCAAGTCGACCCCGTCAACCACCCTAACTCCACCAGGCCAATCCAATAAGGACTCGTTGTTGCTCCTTTGATGCAGTTGGCGGTTACCGCTTGTGGTTGCGACTGGTGGGCACTGTCTCTACTGTGTCTCCACTGTTGGCAAGCGATATCGTCCACGGCGAATAGCCATTTATGGCTAAAGGGTGAGCCGTCGGCCTGATCGAATGGCTTGGCCACTAAACAGACAACAATAGCTAGAACTTGGCCACAGTCCTAAAGACGGGAGGGGAAGAGGCCAGGCGTGCGTGTCATGTCGAAAATTCAGTATTCCTCTTAGTGCCTCTCACCAACCAGAGTTAATTGCCCTTTCAGTGTCATATGCGCGTGATACGATCGCCGTCGCAAAATGTAACGCATGTACCAGAGCAACCCCCCGGTTTGCTACTGTTGTTACTGATGATGTCCTTCGTAAGACTGGGTTTCTTCATAATTCTTCTCGCTTTAGAGTTCGAATTTTCGTGTTCCCAAGAAGAAATGAAAAAAACTGATAATACCGCTTCGGACCGCATTCTAAAGAAGACTATAGCGAGTAAGAGTGTTCGTTTTCAATGGACATAGCAGCTAGCCCATAGCACGTCGACAGTTTTGGACGCCTAAGTGACACTAATAATACGACTACTTCAGCTACGCTAAGGAGCGAAGTCGCTAATGTCAATGTCTCTCGTATAGATCAATGAATTTGCGTGTCTCTGCCAAATGTGACACCAGGCGTCCCAATCTAAGCGGGTACTGATGTTTCTATACGTTAAGCGTATACATTTCGGATCGAGAAAGAGGCTTCATCTATTCAACGCGTTACCAACAAAGAAAAGCAGAAAAAAGACGACTCAACGATGAAGTCGATACATTACCACTATGGTTAGCAGGAGTGGCACACATCGAGTGAAAGGCGTTTGCTTATTTTCGCTATCCCGATTCCGACACGCAGGACAAAATAAGAATGGGGCGCACGGTACGTCAAAACGCTACAGTTTTTTTTCTTTCCTTTCCAAAGCATTAACACGAACTGATAGAAGGAAAATACACAGTAGCCTCAGGCAGAAAGAAGGCTCCACCAGCGCCTTTCTAGGAGCATCGGTCGGCGACGGTAGACCAAACAGAAGAAAATGGCTGTGCTGCCCTATCACGTCTATATGCGCTCTTCCTTTTCTTTTAATGTCCTGAATCCAAGAATCTGACTCCGTCTTCAACCACTGCAGCCGTGCAGCCTGACAGTTCCTTTCTGAGTTCCTTTCCCTTACCGAAGCTGCTTCACTGGCAGCGGTAGAGCAATGCCAGAAGTTACCTGCACGAGCATCCCCCATTGATTAACGGCTTTTGGTATCCAACGTTCCATTCTCAGAATACATTTGTTCTCTTCTAGAAGCTTCAATAGCACATGCTGCTATTGAGCCAGGCAGCTAGTCAACCATGTCCCCATGCTACTATTCCCTCATGTCCTCTCTTCTCCATAGGTAACGTAGTAAACGATGGGGGAATTGTTTGCTCTTACTTGGGCCTTGGACCTGAAGCTACTGTAAGATGGCTCCCTTGTCTTCTCTTGCAACAGGGAAGCAATGACTGCACCCAGTTTGTTCTATGAACAACCTATAGAAACTTACTTTGAACAGTCAGCTAAGCCAAGTCAAGCACTGGCAGTAATAATAGTACGAGCTTAGTAAGAGGGCAATGCCGGAAATCCGTCTGCTCGTCAGGCTTTACCTTTCTTTTTCCACCAAGGCGCCGCCTTCTCTTGAACCGGACATTTGGTTCGTCTAAACGCCGAATGAGACGGAAACACACGCGCACAAATATAGACAGGGATGTATAATGGGAACAGAGATACGGCAGACGAAGTTAAGTCGACTGAGCGGTTGCCACTCATCAACATTCACTTCTAGACGGCCGGGGCAAGTGTAGAGGGGGGAATTTCTCGTAGGTGGTAGTAGACGGCTTGTGTCTTTAGCTACTCCGCCTATATCCGTCAACTGCCGTTCAAAGTCCCCGCGGTGTTGGCCTTTTCTAGCTCCTTCACCGTCCTTTCCTGTCGGGAAATACCTACCGTACACTTTGTCACGACGCACAGAACTGGTTAGAAGGCCGCTGCTTCGTTATATATATATTATATGATGCGACCCAGTATGCCATCCGACGCTGTATACCACCTATTAGTTGATCGACCGCGTGCGCAATATTCCGTAAGACTACCCTATTATTTGCGCTAGTATGAATATTTAAACGCAGACGTTTGAACTGTGCACACCATCTAACCATCAATCACAGGAGCGGGTAGATCGGTTCCATCAACATCGAATAGATATGATTCTGGCAAAGCCGTGCAAATCTAAGTAGGTTAAATCAACCATTATCCCCGCCGCGGTTTACTCGTCATGTCTTTTATGAGGAAGCAGTGACACCTCACAGATTTTGTGAGACTAGAACGCTCTTCCCTTTTCTTCGAGGAAGACTTCGTTTGGTAGCCAGTAGCTCGCCGGTGTCACTTTCCGAAAAGCTTCTCAAAATGGGCCCAGGGGAGTAGGGCACTAACTGGGTGAAGACAGTTGAGTGGAGGACGGCGGTTCTCGTCAATACTTGTTAGCGCGTGCTCAACGCCACTGTGCGAAGATTTCCATTCCTTCTGCAGTTGTTGCCTTGCGCCCACCGCCATTACTGCTGAGCTTCTGGCAAGATAGCACCCAAATGCCTTCCGACGATAGAGCTTTTCGAGTGAATATGGAACGAGTGCGTCGTAGACGCTCATCTTTGTTGCCAGCCAACCATGCAACGAAAACGTCTATGAGTATACAGCCCATCCCATCCTCTTGTGCCTTCTCATATCGAGCGTCATTCGTTCGTGCTTCCTTCGCGATCCACAGATGGCGCCGATTCTTTCGTTCTACAGCTTCACCGACGGTTTGGCCAGCCCGCATAGCCGCAATTGACTACCTCACCACTGCCTCTAGCATCAGCAGCAGCTTTTGAGCCAACAGCTACTCCTCGCTCCTCGCTTTCTGTCTCGTTCCCATTCTTGCCAGCTCCTCCTCTCTGTTTCTACCTCACTCTTGGCCTTTCTATGTCTATTCGCATCTGCTGGCATCGTTTCCTCTATTTGTCGCTCAGATAATAGCGGCTTCCCTTGACTCGGTAGACGCGTCATCGTTACCGCTGCTGGTGTCGGCAATTGGAATGACAACGCTCGGAACCTATATAAAGGAAATAAACGTCCGCCTCACTGTCTCCACGAAAAGCTGTGACACGTTGCCGAACTGCAACAGACATGCTAGGAGCTGGAGTCGGAAAAACTAATCGATTCATATTCTCTGCTTCGGCCTCATGGAACTTTTTACAGCTGTGTATCCGATTTATAATATCAATTGCATTGTGCCGGGAGCCTGTCGACAAACTAAACTTCTCTATTTTATGTTTTGCAAGTGATTCGTATGGGAAATGTTCCTGCCACGGACTTAATAAATAGAAAAAATTGCGTCCTTGAATCCGACTCTCTAATGAAGGAGAAGGAGAAATAATTATTAGCTCATTTGCTGGTAGCAGGGTCCATACGCGCATATTATAAAACGCGCCAGACCTGTGCACCGCTTTCCTTTGTGTCGGGGTCCATCAGAAAATTCTGCGCCTAGCTTTCTTTCTGACAACCCAGTCATGCGGAGCAGGACCGGTAGCAACAGCAGCACGTTAACAATGAATCGATCTTAACTAAAATCCATCGGGTCCGGTACTTTGTTCCTGTTCGCAATTGCGTCGATGGCCGGGAGAATTTCGTTACAAGTTCAACCTATTGCCTAACCTTTTGCTCTTCCCATTTGCTTATTCGACGCAAAGGAGGTATTTGTTTTTTAGAAGCCTTGCTTACTCTGAGCTTCGGCTGCTGTCGCCGTCCTCCAACAGGAGTCAAGTCTAAAAGTGGCAAGATACACATTCGATCGAAGGCTTCTTCAACGATCTTCTCCACACGATAACTTCCTCGACACTGTATGAATGAAGCACTGTATGAACGATGTTGTGCTACTCCTCGATTTAAGATTCCCGCTTCGCAGACAGCCATTCAAATTTCGGACCTCGAGCAACAACAGTAGGATAGACCAGCGAAATAGGAAATTTACAATCAGCCGCAACTTCGGCCACACAAATCCTCAGCTTTCATGGTACGATCTAGTAAGACGGGTCTCCAACTACGTGTTTCTCTATTTCCATTATAAACATGTAGACAATATAATTTAGGCGAAGAAGAGTAGCATACAAAAAAACGAAATTGTATGTAAAAAAACTCCTACCTTTTAGTTTTTTCATTCGCACACGTCTTACAACTTGCAAAACAGGTATAAGACCTTCAGCAGAAAACAGTGTATATATAGAGAGTGCAGATTTACACTCGGTTCGTGTGCTGCTGTCGAGAACGGTAGCTTTAACAATTTTATTGTATTAAACTGCGCCGAATATAAACAATCTAGATATATGAAAGACGCGTACAATCAACTAATACTAATAAGTATATTGTAGACGCGTAGGAACCCAGGGATAGAAAGAATTACGTATGTATTGATGTGCTAAGTTAACTTATTGGAGACAAGTTATCTTGCTAACAGCCGTGCTCAAATTCTGATAGGATATGTTTTTTGTTTAGCCAGTTAATTGAAGCATTCATTTAAGTTTGCGACAACGATTTCTTTCAGATAACGGACCCAACTGGTATGGAAGTGGGACGGGTTAGTAAAGAATGGGATAACCTACCCAAGGAGCTATTGGCCACATCGGACAACTTCGGAGTCGCCTTTCCCGAGGATATTCCAGCAACTCATAAAGCTCTTCTTATCGGTGTCGCCTTTATTCTCGTAAGTATGGCTTCAACTGATAGAAGGCTAATGTTAGTCGCCTCATTTGGCCATCACATCGCGCCTCTTACGCAATGCTATGGCACATTTTTTTCTAGTAATGATTGTCGCCGTCATAGTTGGAAGGGGGAACGTTTTTCGCGGTGATGTTTACGCGTCCTATCTCCCTTGCTTCGTAGCCATCGTAGAATGGCAATTATCTAATTTAATTGATAATAATAATCTTAGCTTCGTAATAATAGACGTCATACGTCGATGTTTCTTCTTTGGTTGTACGAGTTGAAAATGGAATTCCGCTTATAGCACCCCAGTATCGGCATTACACATTGTTACTGCTGCGGCTTCCACAGGACTATCTGTTCATTCTTAGGAATGATAAATTCTACAACTGACAGCTAAACAACATCGTTGGTTTTGGATATCGGCCGTAGCTGAACCCGGAGTCTTTGATGTCTTGCAACTGAGCTTTGTTGGCATGTCTACCCAGGCCCGTCCGCCTCTCCGTACAATTTCCGGTTCATAAGAATAATGATTTAGATGGCCCCTTTAGCAACGAGACGATTCAATAGCTGCACGTAATATATCTAGCCATGAGGGCTCAACTCTTCTAGTAACTGATTTACGGCCTTTCTTTGTTAGACGTGCGAAGCAGCCACAGACCCCCGCTGACTTCCCTCCAATATTTCGTCTGTACTTTAGACCGGGAAGACAGACCCAGTCGCTCTATTTTTCTTGGTCACACATTTTGACATGCGCAAGTTCCCCCACTGTCTCTTCCTTAATTCAGCAGCTCCGAGTAACTACTTGACTTAATTAACATGCTGGGGCACGCAGGGCAGTGTTCATTTAGTGACTAAGAGATGTTCATTCAATATAATTGTCCAGCAATCGTATGCATATATAGTTATACGTCACACTAAATGAGGTAATAAAACTTATGCGAATGTATGTGGCAACTAGCAACGTTGTGAAGTTCATACATGCTTGTGTTTTCTCGTGACATGAGACTTACTTGAAGTATTAAACTTTCGAAAATTGTGCAGTATCAAAATGGCCGTTCAATACTACGGCGGTCTTGCGCCACGTATTGTCAACGATTGCAGATCTTTGAGGTTAGCACTATCTTTCGGTGGCTAAACGTAGCCAAAATTTAGACAAGAAAAATAATAGCGTCGTGACCAATATTTGGATAACAAAACAAAAATTTTTAGAAATTCTCTTGGTCCTTCCAACAAATGCATTGTTATAAAGTTCTATCAATAGTATTGTGGAACGTTCGTTAACAACTCATACAATCTTGCGCAGGTGTTCCAAGCCGCCAACTGTTAGACTCTTTATGCCATTGTTTTGTGAACGCAGTACGGTGGCCCGCGCGAGCTCACGACAACGACACTAAGAATAATAACTTCGATTTAATAATATCGTAACGGGCTCAATAAATCCGAAAATTGTCCGTTCCTGTCGTTGCGGCGCATACAATATTACGCTACCTGACCATCTCTCTTTATACGAACACTGAGCTTGCATAAGTACCACTCTTGCTTGCTTTTCTGAAAATTAAGCTATGTATCACCAAATCTAGGAGCAATACACACACGATGTACTTGCGATTGCACTCCGTGACCACCTTGGCAGCATCCGATGGTCAAGTGCAAGCTTTTATCATCGACGGATCTGGTTAGCGTTCAACTACGTGGTCACATACATTAATTTGCGTTGAGTTCAACCATCGATTCAAGGGCGCTAGAGCTAACTCACTTAGGCCATGTACAAGGCCCGTTTGCTGTAGCGGACTGCTCGCTCACTTCGTTGCAGTCGCTTAATCCTTATGTTTGCTGGCTATTACAACGCCGCTGGACTCAGCGTAGATTTGCTACAGATACCATCGGCTCCCTCTATGAGCTCTCAAAATAACAGTAAAAACCTAATTGCGTTGCCGCAATTGCCTGATGTGGCCTCTTTCTCAGGGCCACTCAGCTGTAATCCACTGAACGGAGAGATGGCCGTTATACCTTTTTCTTTTTCGAGTCGCCATCTACCCAGAAAAATTCCAGGTTAGTGTAGTGTTATACTGTGCATGCGCCAATTGTCGAACTACTACATATGTACGTATCGCGTACATATGTGTGACAATGTGAAGTTCCGCCACCCGCCCATTCTGCCGTAACACAAAAGGTTGCAAAAAACTCGAAGATGTGATTCTGTCCCTTGCGTAAACTACACTTTGACCTACCCAATGTTAAAAGTAAAAAACCGGTATCAGCCACTATTATCAACTAGATTAAACCTTTAGCAGATTCGCTAAACACTCTGGCTGGCTAGAGACTCATCTCGAATTCCCGTTTCTAGTTACTTGAAGATGATCAAATCAATTCTGGAAAACTCCTAAGTGTTTACACATTCAACCGGCCAAACAACGACCATCTAGTCTTTACGTGTTCCCCAGGGAGTAAGCATGCAGGCGTTATAGCTTGCACGAAAGCTGCATGCAAGGCTGTTCAGGCTACCTTCTAGTCCTGTATTGTAACGGCTAAACCACACCCAAATGAGGCAGGATGCAAGGACGACTGCAAAAAGAGCAAAGTAGAATACGAAAAGGAGCTAAATCGAAAGACGCCGTTGGGGATTGAATACATAGAAGAGACAGAAAAAGAATGGCTGGTCTTCCTTACCTCTAGCATCCTCTCAACCGCCCCTCACCCCTGAATCGACATAACGATGGATCATGAGGGAAAGGCTCTAGGCTCTTTTGGGGTTGTCTTGCAGGACAGGCAGACATCACATTGCTTGAGCCCGCTCTTATACCGTCGCAACAGCAAAAGCAGCAGCGGCGGCACCACCGCTGACTTCTGCATGTCTGTTGCCTAGGCTGCTCCTCCTACAGACTGGAGGCGTCCTGGGCATCTTTTCGCATACATACAGGCCCGCATTCACACTCGCATGTTCAGCACTTCTGGGTCGCGTTCTTCCTTTCCGTGTCCTTCCACCCAGGGCCCAGTTTCAAGCCCGAGGCGTCTACATGCTCGCTCCTGGTTGGCTCGGCATTTCAGCCGTTTTTTTTCGTTGCTTTCATCCTCCCTCGGCTAGCTACGTCCGTAAGCCGAGGGAGGGTGAACGCAAGTACCTTGCTACTGCTACTTGAATGGACGATAAAGAAGCATATTACTACCGCTGCAGCCGCACCAGCTTGAACGCTCACCATTGGTGGCAATTAGATCCTCCTTCTTGCTCCGTCCGGGCGAACGAGCCGTGAACTCCCTCCCCCCTCCCCCTCCCCGCATATCTTTAGCCAACTTTTTCTTCTTCATCGCACAGTTACGTCCTGTATAGTGGTCCGCACAGTTTCGTCCAACGGAGACCAATCCCAGCTGGCTGGCCCTTCTGGGTTGGTTCTGAAGACAGAGAGAAGGGGAAGGACGAGTTTGGCCGCATACAAGCGGCAGCTTCATAAGAAGTACAGCGAATAGAAGGTAAGCCATTACCAGCTACCGTCGGCGGGAGCACCAAGAGTAAGCTGAGTCGCGTTGCATTAGCTGGCTACGTCTGCGGAGGGTAAGTAAAGCGACCTGGACGGGAAGCCAGGAGATTCGAGAAAAAGCCGCCTGTAAGTGAGAAAAAGGAAGACAAAGCAAAGAACGAGAAAGGCGAGATAAGAAAGAAAAGAAGATTTCAAACTAGTAATTTTCCCAACGCCCTCTTCACATGTTTACCCCTTCCTTTCTCCTCCCAGAGCAGCGCATAGCCATCCGCTCTCGTTTAGCCTGGTCCCATAGGGCGTCAAGAGGCACTCACCATTCCATACCGATGCCTCCACTGTCTCGGACTTATTGGCATGTATTGGCATCCCACATCGCGGTTCCTTCAAGCCATTTCTCGTTGCCTCGTTGTTCAGGGGATTTCTTGCATTTGCGTCGCCAGAGGAACAAGTCGAGCAGAGAGATAAGCGGAGGAGGCCCGTCTGACGGTTGGTACAAAGAGGCAGGGGCGGGCAAGCAGCCGATTAGCGAGACTTGATAAAGGCAGCTTGCAACCTGCTTGCTTACGACTACAACTACCACTACGACCGCTGTACCGGCCCTAAACCATGTGTCCGGAGAGTCTAGGCAATCCGTGTGAATAACGCGCGTTGAAGCAGTCTTCCGGTAGAGATTCCGCCACCCACCTTTCGGCCTGTTCGGTTAGGCCCAAGGGCGTCTCTGTGCACGACGGACTGCCGCTTATTTGAGGGTCTTGCCGAACAGAGAAGAGCAAAACGGAATTGATCAAGTCGAGCCGAGTCAAGTCGGCTCTCCTCCATCTAGAATCAGCGACGGTATGACACTTGCAGCCACATGGGAGCCACAGACCGACTGACCCCATATATACAAGCAATGAAAGCTGGTAGAAGAAGAGCCGTTTTCTCTCTACGATAAAATGGCTGACCGAACCAACGGTCCCTGCCGCTGCTAATGCTACCGCCACTTGTGTTGCTACTATTGGCGAAATCAAACAGAATTCGTTTTTGTTATCCTCGAGCCCTGTGAGCCTCCTTTTGCTCCGTGACTCTTCGGCTTCTACGCCCGTTTGCTCTGTTTTTGCTGCTGCGATGTCCTTATGTCGAAGTGGAAAACAGATTTATATCGGGCGAGTGCGGTGGCCCCTATTTCTGCCTTGGCCATCATCCAATTTCTATCTGTGAGTCGCTGCTTGTTCGATGACGACTCAATCACGCTATCGACCGCGTAATCACTGGATAACTAGCGCGTAATCCTTTTATTATTCAAACCCTGTGGGTAACAGAATAATAAACACTGCATATACTATGTAATTAGAACACTATAGCTTCCAGCATGTATTGACCCTAGCTATTCAAACGCTACTACGTTCTTTGGCTCCTGCTCATTATCCTGCTCATTTTCCTTTTAAGAGACAGGCAGCAGCAAATATGATGCCCACGCCATACAATTGCCTAATTATCTGACACGCTTAGTTGATTTGATGATCGTCGCAGCAGCAAACACCATTTCGCCCAGCCAACTATCCAACAGAACGCCTTCATCCATCCATAGCACTGCCGCTGGACGGCTAGACACCTTGGAGCCGTTGTAGGTATTAGCAACAATGGCCGTCCATACTCATGCCCTAGTCAACCACTGAAGTGGTTAGTGCGATACCATGGCGGCGGCGGTGGTGACCAACGGTGAACGACCGCTACACCAGTCGCGTTGGCGCACGCTAACTCAACTATTGCAGCTGATGTTGTGTTTCACTTCAGTAACCCAAACGTAACCCAAAAAGGCTCTAGCAAAGGTTTGGTTTTTTCTTTGTTTTCTGAGACCACAGCCATATCTGTAATGGCGGTTACTGCTGCAGCTACCGCTTTTAGTTATGTCGTTTTCCCGCATTCTCTATTGCCGTACTTCACAAGGCGATGCCTGCCACAAAGTTCAACTCTGGTAGCCCACCAACCCGTTCGCCTGTGCCCGGCCAACCTTTTTCTGCATCATTCCCTCCGCTCGAGATGCTGTTACAACACTGGCGCATTATGCTTCTAGTGGAGAAACTCCCGGAAACAACGTGATTTCCAATGCACGCACAGAACAAGTACGACTATGCACTAACAAACTGTGTTTACGAATCACAACCATGATCGAAGTAGAACGTCGGTGGCTCTATTTCGAGACGAAATACAACAAGGCCAGTTTCAATACGCCAGGTGGGCTCAAGTAGACTTTCCTATACTTCCATTGCATCAAATTGGAAGCAGACGCGTTGAGGTCCAGCGCCAATCTTACTTCCTGCCACACGGGCAAACGCATGCCCATCTACGGCTTTTCACGTAGAACATATCCGCCAGTTATAACCACTTGTCGGTCGGTATTTTCCACTCGTTCAACACGGGAGTGTGCACGTACGGCGCTATATCATTGGCCACTTTATTAATTCTATTACTCTGAACTATTATTAGAAAGAATACAGGCAGAAAGTACTGCCATGCTACCCGCTACTACTAACAAAGCTAACACAGCAACGACTTTTGTAATATTACATAATAAATTTGGTGCTATTCACAAGATTAGAATAAGTAAAGCGTTTGTCTTGTGCTCGTAGAGGACGTCGCTATACATTTATATAATAATAGCATTTAGTATCGTTAATATATTTACTTTGTTTTTTCCAAAGTCAGTAGATAAATATACAAACATCTAAAATTCTCTTCTTTTTTTTGTTATTTGCTTCTATCTCCTTTATATTCTTCTATTGCTTCTGTCTGGACCCCGGTTGGATTCTTCTGGCGCCGGCCATCCTTGTGTGTGTGTGATTGTGTCATCTGTCAATTCGCTACGTGGCTCTTTGGGCTTTCGATTTACGCCAACCCGAGCGCTATCTATTTTTATCTTTCCTCTGGCTTGCAATCCCCCATCCCCGCACCGCCGTCCACGCTCGATCTGTCCTTTGTTCTCTTGGTCCTCTGGGCTTGTCGCTATTCTTTGCGATTTTTCTGTCTATTCGTAGGATTTCGTCTACTATGAGCGGGAACGTGAAAAATACTCGCGTACAGGACTCGCGCAGCAGATTCCCTCGGTCGCCAACTCGAGGAGATCCTCGTCCCAGCATTCGGACACAAGTAATGAGGTCAATGAAAACTTCCCGGCGTGGGGTGGCGGGATTGAGACACACTCGCGAGACGAAAGCGGCGGAGGAGACTAGCGCCAGGCGTCTTCATCTGCGCTTCTTTTTTCCGGAACGCGGAAGTCCTCAAGAGTGCGAGGAAAAACCCGTCCGCTTCTCGCAGGCCTACTAAAAGGACAAGTCGGGCCATGACTACCAGCTGCGCCTGAACGGGACGAAACGTTGGTCGGACATTCGACCGACGCGAGTAGGGCGAGTGTCACCGGATGGCTAGCTAACAAATAGCCGCCGAAGGCTAACGTAACGGGAAAAGTACCACGAAAGTCTGGTCAGTCGGACCGCTCGGGCGGATCGAGAGTGGCCTGAGCTCGCTAGGGGAGGGGTTATCGAGAGCCCTATGAGACCCTTCTTTCATGTCCACCTCCTCACAGGGTGGCGCCGTTGCCGATGCTTGTTTTCTTTTGGTATGTACAAACACCGCCTCGCATCACACCAACGGTGCCGAACGTGGTAGCCGGAACAGTGTCGACTGAGGTGGCGGAGAAACGATGGTTACAAGCATACGTCACGCAATGGTGATACAAGAAAATGGTATAGAATAGCAGCCGAAAAAGAAGAAAATAACGAGCAAACGCCAACATATGGACGCGTAAACGTAGGCAGACGGCAATGCCGACTTTAAATAGATCGCAAATTAGAATAATAGCCACAACACGAACGCCGAATAAGCTGAAATTAACTGCTATGAACAATATGCAAAGCGAGTAAAAACAGGCCAACGCGATTCTCGTTGGTGCTGCTTGAACGGCGACGATGAATCAGTGGAATTCGAAGGTACGTAAATACCAGATGACCACTATATGAAACTAACGGCGTCTTATTTGATAGAAAGAATATATATACTACCACAAAACGACAATGCTAGTAATAATTACGGTGATCAAAAGATCATTAATAATTATTTGAATAAAATCACAGAAGAACATGCCTTTTCTAAATTGCGCTCTTAGTAAAGGAAACATAGGTGTCTATACATGGCAGTGTTACATGGGGGTAGACACATCGGTATCAGTGCTGAGGTAATGGACTGGAGCTGGAAGAATCAACTAGATGAAGATGAAGGTGACAAAGCGACGACTTTCAGTGAAGTCAGGGAACGTGGAACAGGGTGCGTGAGAAATATTCTCGAAGACGAGGTTATACCCATATGTTGTTAATTTATTACATATGCATAGATATGAAAATATTGATATCTTATACATTCCAAATAGATGAACAGACTGACGAGTCGATAGTTAGCGCCAATTTGAATCTAATATTCGTATCCGGAAAAAGTATACAATGCAGGATGAAAAACCGGTGTAGCATATAAATGGTAGAAACTTTGGATGGCATGGGTATATATATATATATTTATGGGGTATTCGAGATCAATTGAGATAGGACTAGCAGTGACAAAACATCAAAAACTCATTTTGATGAAGGCAAAGCATCCATATCTGGAAAAAAAAATAAAAATTAGTTTAATGGTTACCGCATTTTATGCAAGTGAACCCCCCGAAATCGTGAGCTTGTGAAATTGAGTTTTCAGTCGACCCTATCGAGGATCCTCCGGTTTGCTTCTTGAAAATCTCCGGATCTTCAAAAGCCGTGAAGAGACTCAATAATTTAGCCTATCAATTTTGGGTAGAAAAAGGGAGTTTTTAAACTATAGAATTTTAAAGTAGACGTTCGCCGGAAAAATCGGATAATAACTGATCTTCGCTGTAATTCCAAAAGCAAGAGACTATTTTGCCATAATCAGTTTGTTGTTTTGTTCTAAAAAGAACTGGCCTTCTGGTGCCAAGAAGAGCAGATGATTACACGACCAGAATAACAAACAACCCGTCGAAGTTTTTTAAATTAAGATGCCCCAGCATGTATGTATATATACATACATACATAGCTGCCAAGGTTAGGGCTGAGTTTTGATAGCAAACAGCCGGGTTGCTCATATAGGACGAAACGGAGTCCACGCGAAGATCGATATATTGCAGAACTAACAAAGCCATTATGTACTAGAGAGGTAGCTGTTCAGATAAACATAACTGAACTAACACACTAAGGACAAAATCAACGCTAGCTAAATTAGCTATCTCAAAATTAAGCGAAAACGTATATCAGAAAGAAACCGCTAAGAGCCGAAAGGTGGAGTAAAAGATCGAAAACGGCGACGTGGTCCCTTTGCGTTTATGTCCTACAACCGCCATGGTACGTATTTAATCACACACAAAGAGCAGCGATCATGATTAGAACAGCAAAATTATAAGCCTTATTACAATTCGGGTATTAATTTCGCTTTTAATTAATTATCTGTTTAGGAACGTGCCCGTCTAGTCACAACGATTCGAGCTCATCAACGTATATATTACTCGGGTTATTAAGCAGGAAATATGTTCCTTACGGGTATGAATCTCGTTTCAAATGTATTTCCTTTTGACTGCTGCTTTGTGAATGCTACCTTCACGTGCTCTTAAGCAGATACCATATGGTCGCAATACATATGACAACCATAATAATAAAATTTAATATCGTTCCGTTATCACAACGTCTTTGGTGAAAACGTCAACACCCCTTAGACAATTGAGAAAGGAGCTGTGCCTAACAAATAATACTAAGGGATATTCCCATCAATCAATCAATCCTGAGACACCCGTGCAGTGGGGAATGAAGGTAAACGAATAAACACAACAATGTTGTGCTCGACAGAATTCGAGGCACGAGGGCACCAACCCAACGTGTTCGGCGGAAACCACGAAACGCTAACTTACCCAAGTGCAAACTATATCTGCCCTTATTAATCAACCCCCTTTTCCCTCTCGTTTAGTGAAAATGATAAGTAGGAAAAGTGTTGAAACGATAATCGTTTAGCACTGCGTTGCAATTTAATGAATAATCAGCTATCCTTATTAAATTACCCTTATTATAAGTATATTTGTATTATCAGTAATTAGACATACTCAAACGCATATTAACTATTACCATCAATGGATGCCTATAGTTACCTATTAGTTCATTTACTCCACGCTAAAATATTACAGCGTATGATAATGTTGCAAAAAGAAGCTCCAATCTTCGTTGATATGATTAAGCTATAGCGGATGGTCGGTCAGTCCTAGTGTGGACCATGGATAGGCATTAGAGCCTGAGTATTATTTATTAGTCCAAAATGGTCCGTTCAGGTACAGCTTGCTCGCCTTATACATTACGATTGATAATTAGGACACCTGTAATGACTATAATAACACTTAGCTTAGCCTCGACATCATTACTAACAACATTACCAATAATCACGGACAATGCATATACTAGAGTATATAATGACCAAAGTACGTAGAGCACGCAGATATGTGCACTGACATACTCTCGGCTCTATGGAACGTCGATATCTTTTAGCCGCTTCAGACGGAACTAGTTTTTCCGGGCGGACTTCCTTTCCGAATTCAAGTTGGCTTTTGGCCGGCATTTCCGCGACGCAGGTGGGTCGAATTGATCGGCTTGATTGATCCTCACGATGCAACAAAAGAGCCAACGCGATTCGGCGTTGACCGTTGACAAAACAGACTAGAGATCGGCTGAGGCTTGATGAGAACCGACATTGGATAGAGCGAACTAAAAAGTGAACGTCGTCTTCGGAAGGACAAATATCACTAGCGCCTATAAATTGACTGTCAAGATAGGCGGACATAATCAAAACATAGGAAGGATAAGTGTATGTATAATGACGCCTAATGTTCATAGCGTAAACGAGAACAATTGACTGACTGGTTATCATAATTAATAAAGCATGAGAGAAAGGAGAGAACGGAAGAAGATTGATAAGGATAGTTGATGGCGACAATGATGTACGAAAAACAAAGGATCGCGCAGAAGGATATATCATGCACAAATATTAGATAATGATACGGGACATACGCTCCTTGAAGAAGTGTTATAATAACATACTCACAAACAATAAACAATGACCGAATAAATAAACCTTCTACGAACACGTATATGTTACTATTAAATCTATTTATGGCACAGAATCGAAGAATTAGGTTTCTGGCTAACTACGTTCATGGCTGCTCTCATAATTTTGATGGAACAATGCTGCTACGTGACATGACAACAGTCATCATTCAGTTGTAGAGTATCGAGCATTAACGTCCGTTATGTACAGAGCGTGCCTTACAATAGCGATGTCCAAGATGACTTCGGATTGAACTGGACCGAAGTTCCTCACATTGATTACTCTGTGGTACTCGACCGCCTGGCCAACGGAAGTAATTACCAACAATCCGTTGATTCACTAATCACCTTTGTTCACGTTAAATAACGCAAGTTTTACGTTATCATATTTTACCGTTTGATAGAAACGACCGTGATCACCAACGACCAGTTAGAATAAAGTTACTACAATATAGTAGAAGGTCTGGCATTGTAGATAGGTCTATGCGCAGAAATGTAGAGAGATCAAGAAAGACACGCGAATTTCTTTTAGTCCTTAAAAATGTTGTATTTTTTCTGCTTCTTGCTTTTCTTCCCTGTTGTTCGCCTAGATTTGTTTGTTTCTTAAAGAGAAAATTAGGCCTCTTTTTTTGCCTGGAACTCTTGTGGAGATCTTCAGGATCTTCAGACGCAAAATTGTCGACGAGGTTTTTACACTAAAAGGCCCGATGACAGGCGGAGCGGGGGGGGGGGGGGGCGTGTTCCCGTAAGAAAACACAATACACTTAAGAACAGGAAAAGCGAGCATTTCCGTTAGGTCCAAACCAAAACAGTACCTACCAAAATGCTGTAAAAATACTCGTTTATGTTGTTGATTAGTCGTCTGATACAGTGCATGCAGTATTGAATAATTCAGTTCATGACAAATGAGCAGCAGTTTTAAGGTCGTACCTCAAATACTGCTGGACGTCAAACTATATATAAAATTGATTAGTATCCACATAGGACCACTTTTTTACAACTTTACAAGCAAGTAATAAGTACCTTCCGTTTTGATAATCTGCCTAAGCAAGAATGTGGTTGTCCCTGCTCATCGAATCGTCGATGCTCACTTCTACAGTCGGTTTTATCTACCTAGTTTGTTATGCCTTCTTGCAATTGAATACCTTCAGTACATCTACATACATCCGCAAAGGTAAATGTAGGCCATGTCCGAGGCTAACCCTAGGGGATACCTTTTCTGCCGCCAACCTTATCACAGCTGCTCTCTATAGAGAAAAGGTTTCGAGTACGTCTACTTTGTATCGAAAGCTTTATGAAAGTATAAAAAGTTTTTTAAGCAGCATGAGCATTGTGGTCGCCAACGGCGATATCAAGTAACATCGAAGTCGAGGATCAACAAAACCGCTGGTGTGATGGTACCGATGGAGGCACTTCCTATAGCAGACGAACTGGGTTAGCGACTGCTTGTCTTTCACGTGATATGATATATCTGCATTAGACGATTTAGTTCTATTTTTGGGTACTATTGTCCGGCCGAAAAAGCAAAGCCTATACTACAAACCCCGATTCCACTCGAATAGGAATTAGTTTTTAAGGCCGTCCATATTAAATCATATAGACTATGAAGGGTACACGATGTGACGCTTAGATTAGTCATGGTGTCACAGTTAGCGGGCCTAAATGCAAAAGCAAAGACCTACAGGCTTTTTTATGGCATTAGTGAGAGCTTTTTGCGCGCCTACCAACACACATTCACTTGTAGGATAAATTGTCCCAAAGCCGACTGTTACGATGCTTGTACCAGCTCTTACTATATGCATAGAACGCGGATGAATCCGCGCATTTTTCGCTAGAGTTTTCGCTGCCATTCATAACAGCACCGCTAGCGCAATCAACAACAACAGCAACAGCAGCAAAAAACAACGACAAAAGCATCAGACTACATTTTTCAATTGCTACTATGAAGGCTGCCTGTTTGCTTTACTGCCTATGCTGATTTCTACTCAGCGCTCAGATATATGCCCTTGTGAAGAATAAGAGCGCCAACTCCGTATGCAACACACACACACACTCTACGTGTAGGTCTATATGGCAAAAGGTACGCTGTGTTGTTGTGTATGCGGGAGGACATACGTACACTCCTCTTATCTGGGCGCAACAAAAGAATTCCAATGAGAGTAAGTAATTCATCGTAGAGCAGCTAAAGCAAGCGATTCCTGTACAGGGCACCCCGTGCTTCCTTGCCTTCAAGGCCTAACGCCAAAGATCTACCAAAGATACCTCCCCTCCACCTACAAAGACGCACGAATGAGCTAGCAGGCAAATATGGGTGAACCAAGAAAGGTAAGAGTAGCGAAAAAAAAAATATGAATCATCATCATAATGCGGAACATACCATCGCCTCGAAGCGAAGCTGTGTCTTTCTCCTGGTTGCCTCGAGCAGCCCAACCCATCGAGTGGCTGCTGATCTTCGTTTAGAATAAAAGAAACATAAGAAGAGCGAGACATCGAACCCACGTACCCTGTAAGGCGTTCCGTGACGCCGAAGAAGACGGAAAACCCTCGATGCCGTACACTACTGCGATCTTCCACGATAGCTTCAAGAAGGCAAACTAGTTCAAACTACGCAGAGAAAATGTTGCAGTCTCTCATAGTCGGAGCACTAGTGGTCGGAGTGGCAGTTTGAACAATGTCTAAGCCCATCTGACACTGATACAAAGACCTTGCATAACCCTGTACATCTAGTATCACATAGCTCTATCTATATGGTCTCCTCCTACTTTCTATGTAACTGCTCACTTAGGATTCTAGTCGTACTTGGCAAAAGTTTAACAGCAGGCCTCAGTGCCCTAAATAGCCGTCTGATAACTTCTGCACTTTGTTCATAGCGAAGTATTGTTGTTTTTGACTTCAAGCTGACCAAAAGAACAAAATGTCGAATTTTCGTTTGCGTCTCGTTTAAGGGACAACTATCGTATAAGAAAAACAGACCGCCACTCAGTGAAACATATTTTCTAATCTATTCATCTACGTATAACATCGCAGTGCTGACCACTCGAGGGTCAACATACTGAGAGTTACACAACACACCGCACAACTTTGTGTTTAGCAGGTATCCTAGGTAAACTTGAGCTTCCTTGCCCTCATACTGCCCGCCTTCTTCAAGTGACATGACTCTTTCTCTCTTTCTCGCCGAAGCCGCCGCCAGCTAACGCAATGCTGTATCAACGGCTCCCATCGTATGTCGTTCATAACGACGCAGAAAGACGTGGGAGCAAAGGCGGGTGGCCGGGACCCATGGTACTTGCTTGCCCACCCAGCTCGCATTGCCAAACCGAATATAGCGCTGACAAGCAGCAACATCTTAACATCACGGCATCATATGCGCCGCAGCCGCTGCTGTAGCTTCCTCTACTGCCCCCCACTCGCACGTACCTACCAACACGAAACAATACGACGACGACATGCTGCGAAGGAATTAATTTTGCATGTATTGTGTCTTGTTGCCTGGCTTATGCATAATTAATAATGGAATTCACAGTGAGCGACGGAGTTGGCGGAAGAGAAAGGAGATAGGCGACGAGAAGGAGAGAACATCGGCCGGTATTGGGCGATAAACGTTTGGCTACCGGCTCCGGTCGAATGGGTTGATTCTCCAGGTTAAGTCTGCATCCATCAGGTCAGCGCTTTTGCAAGCCTGGGCCGTTAGCCGCACCGGCTGCCGTGGCCTCAATTCCCCCTTTAGAGTTCATTAGAATTCAGAAATTTTCTTCCTATCCCTACTATGATTAACAAGCGGCCATCATCATCGAGAAGAATTACTTGCTGGAACAATGCCAATCAACCGTCAAAGTACCAACTTACGTTATGCACGTAACGCTGGCGACGTCACACAGCGTCTATTGCACCATTCGTTCCTGTGCCAGTAATGATCATAGTTGACAAGGCGCGTAGCACTCTTGCACGTACAAGCTCTACCTATATTTTTTCCGTTCCTCCCCTCCTTAGCTCGTAGTGATTTCGCTAAGGTTGTAAATACTGTTGCTACTGTGACAATTTCGATAACTGACGTCAAAGTTTTTGGTAGCATGTAGGGTGAAAGCAGAACAAACAGCAGAATGAATGCATAAATTACTGAACATTTCATACTGCCGAAATAGCTACGGGGAAGGGCGGGGGGTTCGGGGACAGTGATGCAACCCGCCAAAACAGTTCACCGAGTTGTTACGATTCGTATTACTTACGCCCTATTCGGTCTCGTTAGACCTGTAGACGTATATCTGCCTGCCGAAACGTCAATAGATCGAACGAGGACAAAACACGTACATTTTATAGATATACCACAGGGTCGAGTCGCAGAAGGCTCAGTCTGTTCCTCTACGAAACAGCCGCCCATAACTCTGTCCATTTCGCTGCTGTTGACAATGATTATGGTTGCCGAGAAATGATGATCTGAGGATGCCGTCTGCCAACAAACAGTTTACATTCATTACTAATCGATGACCATCTCGCAACAACTCTCGCCTGGGCTACATCATGACATACAGAGCAGTACGCGGCACAACTGCCCACAAACGGGCGCGTAGAATTTGTGAACGGTGCAGGTCGGTAAACAATTAAACGAACAGATCGGCAGAAAACCTCTATTTCAGGCTTACTCACTGGCCCAGCTTTGGCCTTGCAGATAAGATCTATACCAAATCCTAATGAAGGGTTAGAGCGGTATATGAACGACTGGCTATTTTAGCAACAGTATTACAATTACAGCGGCTTGAGCCACACCTGAGGCACTGTATAATATAGGATTTTCTGCACAGCGACTGTAAGGTGCAATTGAACTGATTTCTCTTCTGCTAAGCACGCTGGTATCCCGTTCAAAACGGCTTACGAAGCTTGAGTCTGGCCTGTAGACATACTGGCTCGTCATTTCGTAACCTGTGATGTCCCTATTTAACCAAATAGAGTAACGCGATATCAGAGCTTAAACATCAGGTAAACACCAGACGCGTGCAACAGTAAACGCTAACAAGCATAATATTAAGGTCCGCGAATTTCTACCGGTCAAAACTGCTAATTGAAACAAACAAGAGTCGTATTACTGTGAAAATGATCATTATCATGTCATTTTGGGGACCGTCCATTTCAAACAGCAAACAAATGGGGGCTAGGTTGTAAATATTAATTCCTCCTATTGGACATGAAAGGTTATCGAAACAATGTATTCTTTCCGAGCAAAAAATACGCGACTTTTATGGCGTAGAATTCATACATGCATTGAAGCCTCTATGTGTGTAGGATGACAAACATATTACAATAGGCCTAAAC